AGTGGGTGTTACATTGTACAATGGCATAAAGTGCCGAGTACAGCACTTAAGACCTATCCTTTCAGGGATAAAAGCGTGATGTTATGTTATGTTAGTTATATTTCAAAATTAACGAAATGACAGCGGCATTTAATACCTGACTGAAAAGAGGTACTGAATCAAACTCAGAGTCTATTTCTCATGAAAGCCAGACAAAGAATAATAAAATAAAATGAAATGAGACACACTAAAGACATACGCTAAAGAGCTGTATAAGTTTATACTGTAGTAGTATTTTGAAGAAAGAATCACATAAAGCAATGACATTTGCATCTTAATGTTTTTAAATAAGCTAACTTTAGCAGTAAATGGGAAAAACCCAGCGACAAACAGATGGTAATTTGTTTGTAATTAGGATTTGTAATTATTTCACACGATACCTACTTCGAACATACACATATTTCAAAGTGATATTTGTAAGGTTATAGATGCTGATTTTAGTTTAGTTAGTGACAAAAATAATGTTTAGATATCTTCAAGTATTGTTTTATTAATTGTATTTGGTTATTTATTATTGTTTACAAGTAGTAATCTACCTCTAAGATCAAATTTAATGAATTCTTGATAACAGTAAATAAAAAATCAATCTTATGTGTGTATCTATAACAAAATTATAAATAGACAAATATAAAAACCTTTAATTCAACATTTATTCGTAACTTTTTTCCTATTGGCATTTACAAGAATCACAAAATGGCTAAGAATTTTATTACTTTGCTCATCAATCTGACTAGTAATATGACCATCAGATCTGAACCTGAGATATTTAAAATTAGAATCTATACATATAATTCTATACCGAATTCTTTTGTGAGAGGAAAGAGGTATTTGAAGGACATGCATTACTTATTGTCATTATGTTAAATTGGGTACTAAGTCTGGATAAAAACTCACAGGTATATGATGTAGATTAGCATTCACCAGCTCAGATGCCAATCGAACTTCTTCCAAAGCCCTTTTCCTATGTGTAAGATTCAATGTTTGGGTAATATCCAAAACACATGCTATATCCATCCGAGGTCGCTGGTTGGAGCCCCCGGGCTGTACCGTCGCACTGGACCCATCGCTGCATATACTCTCGCAGATGCTCCTCACTTCCCCTACAAAATAACAATTCAATAACTCAAAGTCCTCACAAGACGTTAACTAAAAACAAAGTTCACAACACCGCACCTGTATCTTCTATCGCCGTGGAATTGTTCCCACCGCCGAATGTTATCATTTTCTCACGTGTTTATTAACATTTGGATAGTTTATACACACATTTCACATTCAATTTACGCAGTGTAAAAAATAAATTCCACAACAAGTATTTGCGGGCTTGTGTTATTTAACATTAGTGATGTACTCGTTTCTTCGCACGCAAAGTCGACATTGTTGTAGTCTGTGAAGACTGTGACAAAATGTTTGCAAACGTGCTCGCTTAAATTGCATATTCATTAGATTATCCAATTAGTTGCCATCCACGTCTTAACTGCTAAATACTTATAAAACATTGGTTATCTCCTTGCATTATGTGATTTGACGTAATAAAATATTATGTCAAGGTTGTTTCTTATCGCCAAAATATTTCAAAAAGGAAATGAAAAAATAGCATGCTGCGCTTGTGTTTTCAAATAACCCATTCAGCATATAAATCAATTTGCCAAACACGGATTTTAAAATTTATTTGTAGTGTGAGCCCACTAATAAGAAAAAGAAGACTACAAGATAATCCAATAAGACATTTCATTTGCTTCTCGTAATAGCAATGGACATCACTATAGACGACCTTGCTTTCGTGAATTTGCGCCATCTGTATTCAAATATGTGACTCGTAGTTTTATTACTGGTTGTAGTTTTTATCAACGCCGCTGGATGTCGCTACGTACAAAAATACTTTTATTATTCCGTGCATTGTTATTTATAATAACTATTGATAATAAAAATATTAATGAAATATTAAATTATAATTAGTACCTATAAATACATGTTATTATTTCAGCACAGAGTCCCAGAAGAAGTGGATTCTCCAAACATATAATAGATTTTGAAATTCTGATTAAGTAATACTTACGAACTAGGTACTAGGTAATACCTAGCCTTACGCTGTTCTACAACTTACTTAAGGGAATGTAAGTTTTGCTTAATATTGGATCATTGTAAATAAGTTAATTCAATATTCAGGGTGACTTGTAACTCGACGTATTCCTCTCGGAAGGTGATAATACAACTAATTTCCTACAAAATTAGTCCTCAGGTCTCTGGTCTGAAAGTGGCTAGTTTCTGAGATATTCGACATTTTCTTTACTTTACTTATCTTCAAGTTCTTAATTTATTTTGAGAATTATACAAATAATTTAATGCTTTTGGGTATTTAATAAACCAAGGAAGTTGTTATCATAGAAAATACTTAGTTGTGTTATCACCTCCCGAAAGGAATACGTCGAGTTACAAGTCACCCTGTATATTCAGCTATTAATAATAATACCTACATGCTTCGGAACGAATGGGCCGGCTCGCAGTTATACCACGGCCTTATAAAAAATTGACGTGAAGCAACGCTTGCGTTGTATTTCGTCGTGTGAGTGAGGTTACTGGAGGCCCAATTACCCCCCCTCCCTTCTCCAATCTCCCCAATCCCTGAATCCCCAAGGATCCCCAAACTCCTAACCCCCAACGGGCCAGTTACGCAAACGGCTTTAGTGTTCCAGGTGTCCATGGGTGACGCCGATTGCTTACCATCAAGTGATCCGTCTGCTCGTTTACAGGCTTATCCCATAAAAAAAGTTACTCATGTCTGCCTCGTTGGCCGAGTGCTCGCAAGTGCGACTGCCGGGCAAGGGGTCTCGGGTTCGATTCCCGGGGCGGGCAAAGTATTACTAGGGTTTATAAAAATACTCAGTAGTAGCACGGAGTCTGGAATTGTGCTCGGTATATGGCAATAGGCTAACCCCCTATTACATGGGGCTCATAACATAAATATTTAAAAATTGGTTGTTACATTGTACAGTGGCATAATGTGCACCTCTGCCTAGCCCTTCGGGGATAAAAGGCGTGATGTTACGTTATGTTATGTTACTCATGTCCCTGGGATGCTCGCGCACTTGACTTCAGTATTCGGTGTTTTCATGGTTGTATCTACTGTAGATCCTGGCTTATAGGAGTTGCAGCGGTTTTGGGAGGTTGTGGCGGGGTTGTCTCAAATCGGGGTAGATAAATCATCACTAGCTAAGTAAACTTTTTAAGGAAAAGCGCGCCTCATTTTCTCTTTCACTGCAATTCCTATGGGCCAGGATCTTCAGTAAGTACTTCTTCTTTCTGGCCTTTACACCTCCGTACCAATAAGTACCACTAATAAAAACAATCAAGTTAAAGACAATGAAGTTCAGCGCGTCCTAGAGACGTGAACAACTTAAATGGCTTGGAGCCAACAACAAAATGAATCAGGAGTTAGCAGCTGAAAAGAAATAGTTTCCACGTACTTCGGTTCCATTTTTAAGATACTAAGGTAGGTAAGTAAGTACTAAGTAACGAAGTGAATGTCGTAGTGGCCTGGAGGTTTAAGACGCCAGCTTCTCATGCACGAGTTTGCGAGTTCGAAACTTACCAACGGCAAGTGCCAACATGATTTTGTTCGAGTTATATGTACATATAACTCGGAAAAAATATGTACATATTTTCCAAGACTTCTTCAATAACTTCGACAATAACAATAACAGACTTCGACAATATTTAGACGCCACTGACAAACGGTGAAGGAAAATATCGTGAGGAAACCTCGGCTTATTGTCTCTTTATATTTGAAATCGCTAAACCGCATTGAGCAGGCGTGGTGATTACCGCTCAAACCTTCTTCGTGCTACTTATAGACTGTTGATATGATGTGATGTCAAGTAAGGAAGTACGGTAGGTACCTTTAAATACTTATAGGTAGGCATATGTTTAACAAAATAAAACCAAGGTAATAATTAATAAATAACTAGAAGCCTTTAACCAGTAAGATCCTGCATGGGTGGTCCTTCTTATCAACTGGAAAGGAATATCAAAGACATTTTCCTTCTTCACACGTAGAATAATAATAATAACATCTGAACCGAAAATAGATTACAGAGAACTTTTTATGGAGCGCCCCATCAGTGGTATGGTGGCGGTGTGATCGCCTTTTGCGGTCAAGGGCATTCATCAGGTACCTACTTCGGACAATATGAGACGAGACTAGTAAACAAAATTAAGAACTTTATCTTAGTGAATTTTTTATTGTTATTTTTTGGGTTGAGATGAGATGAAATTGAGATGTAGATAAATCAGTTTTCCAAATTGTCCTTGGTCATCTTATATCTTATCATAGGTCTTTTTTTCAACCCATAAGAACTTTGAGCATAGGATTGCGAACTGTGTATGAATGATCGGCATTCATACACAGTTCGCAATCCTATGCTCAGCTTTTTGGGTTCCTAGGTAGCTTGTAGTCCGATCTAAAAGTAGGCACAGGATTAAAAAAAAAATACCAGTAAAATGATTCCCACGACAATAATTGACGTATTCTGTATTGCACTAGTCATTAAGTAGGTAAGTAGGTACTCAGAATTTTTACTTTTTTGGCAATCCTTATCCTTATCCTTACTTCCTTACTAATATTATAAATGGGAAAGTGAGTTTGTTTGTTTGTTTGTTTGTTTGTTCCACTTTCACGCCGTAACTACTAAACCGATTGCTTTAAAATTTTGCAGACGTAAAGTTAGAAGTCTGGATTAAATAATAGGGTACTTTTTATCCCGGAAAAATGTATATTATCGAGGGAAAACGAAATTATTGGTATAGATGGCGCTGTGTGTATTGGTATATGTCACATAGGCTACTTTTTATCATTTTGTGACGCGAGCGAAGCCGCGGGTAAAAGCTAGTGTTTAAATAAATAACATTGGCTTAGGTATGTTGCTTAAACTGTAGATATCTACGTTCAGATAAGAAAAACAATGTTTCTGTAGATACTCGTTTATTTTCGGTGTTTAATAAAGTAATACTTAAAAGTTTTTTGTACCGACTGTTAATCCTCATCTAACTTCGAAAACATCACAGTTTTATGATTAGTCCTTAGGATTATGAATAAAAATAATTAATTATAAATACATTCCATAGTTTAAAACTAAATATTCTTGTATGTAGTTGGTGACATTGGATATTAAGTAATAGAAATATTTTTTATAAATAATGACTCAATACAACACCTCTCCTGATACATTTTACAAATCTTTGGTATTCAACTGACTTAAGTACAATAATAATTTATTAGGTACAACACAATAATTATTACCCAAAAGAAAATAAATATTGCTATAATAATATAATTTTAAAAATAAAAATTAATATTATACATAGATATAATATATCTAACTGATTCTGGTATCCTAGTACTTTCACTTGCCGAGGATAATTTTGCGCGATGCCCCGAAGTTCTGTCCTGATTGACTGGCCAGTTTGTTGGTGCCAGCTTGTAGACCGATGACTGAGTTACCAGCACGGAGCACATCCTCGCTGAATTCACGACGGTTCTCCTCAGCCGGCCTGGGGCCTAAGTAGGGACCGCGCCATTCCGGGTGCTTATAGGCCTGTAAATTAATAATGAAATCTAAGTATTTCGTGAATGTTAATATAATTAATGGTATGGTAAATATAACTCCTTAGATTACTTTTACGCATTATTCTGAGTACGTATACGTTTAATAATTTCTAATAATATATTGTGATCTTTATCACAATACCACGGATGCAGAAAAAGTAGTGAAAAGTCAGATTCACTTGCAATTAAATAATTTAAACTACACGCAAAATACAATTTTTATGACAATAAGGCTGTATTAAAGACGTGGGTAATTAATATGTGAACCATAACATTCAACCTCCCATTCGGAGCCCAAAAGGCATGTATTTATCTTTAAAATAAAAACCAACACAATTAGTCATGTAGGTACCAAAACACAATGTCAAATTATTTTAAAAAAACATGGCGTCAGAACTGACGTCAAAAGGTCATTGCTCCGTACGTACCGTCCTTCCAAGGGCGAAGATGGTCTGTGTCACGAGTGCAATGTTCTTCTGGTCCCAAAGATCTGTTGTCTGGAAGAGGTCCACATCAGGTACTCCGTACTTTACACACGCTTTTTGGAACCTGGAAAAGATTTTACATCTTTGGTTAGTGGTTGACTCGAACATAAGTTACATGTTTTTTTACCGGATTGACAAGTGTTGATTTTTTTCTGATTATTAATTAGTAAGAAATAAGTGCCTAACGGTAAAAAAAATGTGCATCATTCGTTGAGTCATCAAGAGACGCTCATTTGCGTATGCGAATACCCACTGATCCTGACTGCCTAGGGTCCGGTACTCCAATCGAGTGTAGGGAAAATTATTAATATTTCAGGATTTATATTTTTTTTATAAATTATAAGTAATGCTTAGTAATGCTTAGTAATTATACCTAGACTCGACCTTTTGTTACTGCTAATAACATGAATGATAATCATCGTCGGTTCCTTCAAATATTATCACTGAATAAAAACTTAAACAATATCTTAAATTCACTTTATGTGAATATTTAAATTCTATGACGCAGTAATTATGTTGATTTATTTTCTGCAAATCACTACATAGTATAAAACGAAATCCCTATCCGGCGTCTGTCTGTCCCTATGTATGCTTAGATCTTTAAAACTGCGCAACGGATTTTGCTACAGTTTGTTTTAATAGATAGAGTGATTGTTAAGGAAGGTTTATTTGTATAATACACGCATAACAGAAACACTGACAAATTCAGAGGTTTCTAATTGCACCCGTGCGAAACCGTGGCGGGTCGCTAGTATTATATAAGGTGTAAAGTTCCAAGTAATGCTGAATTCCCAAGTTCAATAACTAAGGGAACGGAACATATCGAAGGTCGATCGAAAGTTTTGAACTTGCGACAGTTTTTTCCGTATCGTAAACCTTCAACAAATGTTTTTACATTTGTACGAGAAACCAGTATTTCATGTAGGTATGAGTAATGAAAATAAAAAATAAACAAATTACGCATTGGAGAAACCATTTATCTGAGAGCCAGTGCACTTTACATCAAGTTTAAATTAATAAAGTCAATGTTGAACACAAACAAATTGCATCGAACTTGCTAATATGTCTACAGGCTTATAACGAAAGAACCCAGAAACATTAATCGAAAGCCCTAAATAAAAAATATTTTCACATAACATCATCGCGCTTTTTATCCCCGTAGGGTTAGGCAGAGGTCTAGGTACATTAGGGCACCTAATGCAACTGTACAATGTAACACCCACTTTTCACTATCTATGTTATGAGTCCCATGTAATAGGGGGTGAGCCTAGACTGGCGACATTTCCAAACTCCATGCTACTACTGAGATTTAGAAAAAAAAAATCCAGTAATGCTTTGCCCGGTTCGGGAATCGAACCCAAGACACCGTAATTGCAACCACTCGGCCAATGAGGCAGTATTTTCACGATAGGTAATATTCAGAGGCGTATTTATATTTCACCCATGCGAAGCCGGGGCGGGTCGCTAGTTAAATGATAAAACGACCAACTTACTGGTTAATATTATCCATGTATTTGTAGTCACCACCAGACACGTTGACCTTGGTGATGATGCCCGGCTGGAGGCGGTTCATCAGCTTGCACAGGATGATGCCGTCACGGAGTGCCAGCTCGTATGGCATGTTAGGGAACCTCTCGCCAATGACTGCTTCAATCCATGCTTGGGCTTCTTGCTCCTTCTCGGGTTCACGCTTGCCAGCACACTGGAAGAAGAAAGAAAAGGAATTGAGCTCTGGAGCACTATTATAGGACTATGTCTCTTACGAGTGAAATTAATAACCGATCTTTCGATTAAACTGTCAAACACCAAGCGGTCACCGGTGACCGCAACCTATTGTTCTATAATTGTGTCTACAAAACCGGTACTCGACGAGTTAAGATCGATTTTTTAAAGTTACTACTCAGTTAAATTTTATCTGGTGTTGGCAAAATCGGGCCTAGGATCGGTTAATCATTTTAGTTAGTGATTCGTTTAGATAGTGTTTCAGAAGCTATAATTATGGTCATAAGATTACACCAGTAAAGTACCTAACATAAGGGGTATAAGGCTGAATTATGCAAAAGAAGATAAAAGCTATATTTTTTCAACAGTTAGATAATCTTTCCTTTGCTCGAATACTAATTCTTATCCTGTTGCCGAGTCTATTTGGTAAGTGCAGATCGCGCTGTTGAATTTCCTTTTTGATTTAATGATATTCTTACTTTTGTGTTGGTAGTACTTTCCCAACGTATACATATTTCTTAATATAGGGAAAAAGCAGTGACTTATTTACATTTTTACCTCATAAAACAATACTGACTTCAATGAAATATTAACATGATTAATAAGAAAAATATGTTTAAACTGTCAAACACCAAGCGGTCACCGGTGACCGCAACCTATTGTTCTATAATTGTGTCTACAAAGTCGGTACTCGACGAGTTAAACCTAGTAAGGAAAACAACTAGGTACTTGACAATACCTGCTTATGTAACCAAAGTACAGAGAACCAATAAATTTAAAACTATTTTATTCCAAACACGTGGTTACATTTTTTTGCAATTCAAATGCTAAGCAGACTATAAAGGTGACGGCCATAATTGTTTATGTGAAGACAAAAGATATTTTACTTTAATGTCCAGACTCTACGGTTTCGTTTAAATCGACAGACAGACAGAACAATCGACAGTCACTGATAAGGACTCGTGCGATACAAACCTTCCTTCATTATCTTTTTTATATATATTTACCGCTGTCCAAATATATCGTCATTCATAATCAGTACTTTGAAGTGTAAACATATTTTTTTGAAAAATGTTGTTCTTTATTTTGTGTTCTATTATGTTATATTCAGCTGTGTCTGCGCATCCTTACATAGCACTTTTCTTATTTTTCTATGCGCCTAAGCATTTTTCTTTGGTCTTATAGTGTGTAAAGTTATACTATCTATATAGTTTTTTTTTTAATTTAAAATTCGTAGTTAAGTACTGATTTAAATGAATACATTATGGATTGCCCCTTGACATTGGATTTAAGGATATTTCGAATAAGGTATGTTCGCTTATTTAAATTAAATGCCGCACTTTTTGTACCTATCTAATAATAAGTGGTGTTTATCGTAATGTCATCAATACTACTAATAATAAATTGCGCCCAACCATTTTCTAATTTTTGGTGATAGAATTAGTCACTTAACTAGAGAATTGTATTGTGAACATGATTGATAAAGGGTAAGTAACCTATGGAGTTTCTTGCTCGTTCTTCTCCATAGGAGGACACTCTTCTACATTGGAATGAGCAAATAGCTTCACTTTGAAAATTTTTTGTTGACGTTCAAAAGTGCCTTCCTCGTCTAATTAAAACAAATGATTTTGATTTTGACTTGTTAAGCTTGTTTATCATCACAACTGTCTCAAAGAGCTGATGATGATAATGAATATTCAATAATTGTTTGTCCTCGGTTACATGAATACACGTGTTAAAAGATGAGAACCTACTTAATGAAAATGAGGGCTTATAATTACTATATTACCTTGTTTGCTAGTAGTAAACGGAACACAATATTGCTAATTTTAACGTTGATCTTAATGAATCCGAAAATAATGTTCAGTAGTCTAACTTATTTGTTAAAAAAATGATCGACAGAGGTCTTCCCACTTCTTGTCCAAGTGTAAGACTTTCTTTTTTAATCTTTTTCTTTAAAATGTTAAAAAATGATCACACTCTCATTAATTGCTTTCTGACCAACTTAATTTTAGTATTGTTCCAACAATTTTTTAAGAAATAAGTATGCCTTTTGACGCTAAAAAAACGTGACGTCACAATAGACAATCTCGTGCAAAATTCTTACGAAAATGGCGATTTTGATAGTTCAAAAAAAGTATTGAATAAAATAATTGGGTAGTTTCCAGTGTCAAAAATAAATTATTTAAATTTTTCTGCCCAATTAGATGTTGAAAAATAATTACACTTTCATTCATTGATTCGACGATATACTTAATTTTCTATTTATTGTAGCAATTTTTTTATATATAAGTGGACTATTTATTGCGAAAATATGATGACGTCATACGATGGTATTTCGTACAAAATTCATAGGACAGTGTCGTTTTTGACGTTCCGATTAAAGTATTGAATTTGACTAGTTGTCAACTACCGTATAGCAAGTACCTAATAATGTTATTGATTCCATTATTATTGCATTAAGGAAACAGTTATCTCTCTCTAGTCTATAGCTGAACACTATATTCAGTTGAACTTCTTCTTTGTATTATTTTTCATACGATTAACATTTTTCAAAATCACAACCCATCAAAGAATGATTTCATTAACATTCTTGTTATCAGATTTTTGGCATCTGACTATCATAGACATTCATATGATAGACACGGTAGGGACGGAAATTCACTTCCTCGAGACGTGTCTATACAACTATTTTATGTAAATATATTTATTATTATTATAATGGCATTGACAATGGACCATTCGCTTTGTTTTGATAACTATTTGACTCAAACACGTGACTCTAGCTCAGTCTTCCTCTACCTACATGACTAGGTAGACTTAGGTATAATATATATATATATAATCTGAAATCGAATTAAATGAAAGACCTTATTGTAAACATAAGTCATATATTATCTCTTAATCATGTTCAATATTATGGTTTGAAAAGATGTCGTAACTTTCGATGATATCAGTTAGTACTTACATTTCCATAATAGTAATAGCAGTATCTCTAACAGCAAAATAAACAAAATGAATGATATTTTCACATAACATAACATAACAGTACGGGGAATTATCCCTATTACATGGGACTCATGACACAAATAGTGAAAAGTGGGTGTTACACTGTACAGTGGCATAATGTAGACCTTTGCCTACTCCTTCGGGGATAAAAGGTGTGATGTTATGTATGCATAGAGAGGTGAGCATTACAGCACTTACTGTCACTTTACTATTTATGTGATGTACCCACTTTTCACTATTAACTCGTCGAGTACCGGTTTTGTAGACACAATTATAGAACAATAGGTTGCGGACACCGGTGACCGCTTGGTGTTTGACAGTTTAATGTTATGAGTCCCATGTAATAGTGGGTGAACCTATTGCTACATTCCGGGCACAATTCCACATCTGAACGGAATATTTAAGAACCCCAATATTACATTGTCTGACTCAGGAATTAAACCCGAGATCCCATGCCCGGCAGTCGCACTTGCGACCACTCGGCCAACGAGGCTGTATGATAATTTCATGACGGTGAAACCAGTCAATTAAAACTTGTTTACTTCTTCAAGGGATTTTAAATTATTTGCAGTAAATCAATGTAATGAGAAGTTTACATCTGAACAAAAGTACATTATTTATGAGGTCATTACTTTTGTAATTGCTTAATTAAAGTTAAGAACGTAGGTAATCAGGTTATCACAATTACAGACAATGGTTGCGGAAGACTTTGTTTGTTTTAAGCGCTGATAGACTGCTGGCTGCACCTTTTTTTGAAGGGGAAATACATCCAATGGCTTCCTTCGTCTAGGATGAGGCAAGAGGTAGTGTCAGACTGTAACTGACTAAAAACCACCCGTTCCTACCTTACCATGACTTCGACCCGGAATGCCGGTAACCCGCTAAGTCGTCCACAGCTCCGTGATGTGGCTGACTCTTTCTGGCTGTTTGCAGTTTCAGTATATAGTCGGGTTCATAATAATTTATCTTAATATATGCATATTATAATTTACTTTAAGATTATTTGTAATCATCTGTTAATGGTAAATTAAATCATTTATTTTTATAGCTACTGTATAATATAAGGTTATGTAACCCTTATGTAATTTTTCAGACAAAAAGAAGCTTAATATCTTTAGCCATGCAGTCGACTAGCCAAGGTCTCTTTATCATAAATATATCATTTGTTTGTTACTTTTGAAGTATGAACCTACTTATTACTTTGCATTTATCATAATATTTTTATTTTGTAGATAGTATAGGAAAAACCCACTAATAGGTATTTTTCTAGGTATATTCTGAAATGGAATATGAAATTTTATGCCAGGGCCGAATTGGGTCAAGGGCCGGGGAGCAATAGATCAGGGGCCCATGAGTAAGTAGAGAGCATAATATTCTTATTTACTTTAGTCAGAAGCCTTGTCTCCTAAATATGATGTGGGTCTACATAAGCTATAGATAGATATGCGCATTTTTTGTAATATTGCTTGTCTTAAAATTGACAGCGAATTCTACGTCATAGATGAAAATGTCTGTAGCTAAAAGAGCTATAGTTAGTTAGGTTTATCTCGGTGTTGGTGAAACATTAAGTAGCTGAAAAAAAAACTGGCCATTAGACAGTCTTTAGATAAAATAATAATTAAAATAGCGATTTGTTTTGTAGGTTTTTGTGTGAAAACTAACTAATAAACGGTCATATGGTTCATACATTCCTACAATCGCATTTATGACATTAAACAGGAATAGGACAAAAAGATGTGTATTGTATTATTGGGTGACAATTTTTCAGTCTGACACTCCCTTCCGCCTCACCCAGGCGGGAGCAGTCATTAGATGATTTTCCCCTCTTAAAAAAAAAAAATTGGGTGACGATTGTGTTACGAGTATATCAATATCCTATATCGATTATTCGTTTTATTGTTGGCACACAATGATCAATGTTACCCATATAAAATGCATAGACCATTGAACTTCTTGACCAATGCCCCCGAC